GCACCAGCACCAGCACCAGCACCAGCACCAGCACCAGCACCAGCACCAGCACCAGCACCAGCACCAGCACCAGCACCAGCATCAGCACTAGTATCAGCCCAAGCACTAGCACGACTGAGGCGACCTCTATCTCCACCCCAGCAATCACGTCTTCATCGACCCTTATCACCTCGACCCCGAATAAATCCCTTTCGGCTGTCATCCCGTCTACGCCTCTGGCCGCCTCCACCCCTCTAGCGGCCGTACCCACCACTGCCGCTGTCGTCGGAACCGGTGCTCCTGCCGCTTCCGCGACTGCCTTCAACGCTGCCGGCCAGATAGCAGGCGGCGTTTGGACTGTTGGTGGTGCCTTCCTGGCTCTGGCTTACGCTTTCGCGTAAGCCTTGTGAGCGATCCACATACGTTTCTGACTTGCGCGACTTTTTTTGGTCGTAGAAGAGATGAGCATCGTGCTTGTCGATTTATTAATTCTGGGATTTCTAACGTTTCTTCTTACGGATGTGTTCATGCATGCTCTGCCCATCTGTGTCCGTCTATTATTCTCTAATGTTTTGATAACTTTCTCCACGACAGACTACGATCTAGCGTCTATTTTATACACCTGTATCTTCAGAGATTAAATAAACCTTTTCTTGCCACTTTGGATTTCGAGTTTTTCTTTGCTGTCTTTTATGCGCCACGGGTTGACAGAAACCCCGTAGATCGATCCACTCTTGAAAGATTGTACATGTGCCTCCGTCTGTCTCATTTATGTGTATGCATTGTGAGGCGCAGGGTTAGGGCTATCTCCGTATCCGCACTGTGAAGCTTGCTGGCTATGTCCTGACAATCCATGGACGTACCTAGCTTCCCCTTAGTCTTACCTCAAAACTACAAGTCATCATGGTAGTCTTCATAAGTAGGGAATGTTGACCATTCATGCGGTGGATGCAGAACCAAACCAGATCATGGACGAACTAATAGTCAACAGAGGATCTCTCGTAGCTGTGTGTATTTCGGCGGCATGTCCCACTTGGCTTCCAGTAGAGGTTCTCGCTCAACGCATTCTGAGAACTACTTATCAAATCATAGTTAAGTGGATTTAAGCCTGAAGAACGTCAGGCTCTTGCAATCGAGACTTCCTCTGGAAACCAGACTATACACGCAACACTTCAAAAACACAAACACCAGTGGACATAGAAATGCCCATTGAGAATTCCTTATGAAATCCCCAAAAAACCTCCACTTTGGAAAGATTTTATAGAGCGGAAGGAGCATGGACATAGAGCATTCAGGGTTCAAGCCCCCGTTTAGGAAGGAGTTGCTGCCTTGATGCCCCGTTTTAGAACGGCAGAAAAAATTCACACCCCTGAATTGGTATCATGAATCTCAATTTTGATGGTTTAGAGCTTCATTAACACATAGATCATTTACAGTACATTGTATAGAGCGGTGTAAAAAGCGGTGCTCCTTGAGGCATTCAGGCCATGAACCTCCTTCCTAAACGGGGGTTTGAACCCTAAGGTCTAACCGTCTGCGTAAGCATGGCCAATCCTAGGGGGCGGATGTTGGACTTCCAGCAGCATGTCGCTGACCCTGCAGCTAAGCGTACGTCATACCGCCGGCAATTATACTATCTATGGGATGTGCCAACTTTCAGATTGGGATAACTCATCGACTAGAGACACGCAATCAATTTTGAGTCTGTTCACCAGAATCCCTGGTTATGGGTAAAAAGCACACATTTTCCTGCTTTTTCCTGCCCAGCTATATAACCGAGGTGGAGAAAATGGCTGAAAAGATGACTAAAACAGACCTGAAGGCGGCCTATGGAAGCTCGGGTGCTTTTGGTCTGAGTGTGCTAATGTTGCGACAAGGCAGCATAATCCTCATGCTGATTAGCACCATCTTTGCTCTAACCTTATGCATCGGGTTCAGGTTAGAGCTCGAACCTCAGATCCGAGTAAATACCCAATTCCCAACTACAACATCTTTTGATTTCTTCAATACTCACAAATCAAATCTAGATTCGCATTGTTACATTCACTGCATCTCAAGGAATTGATACTTCCACCTACAAAGTGGCAATATAGCAGAATCTTAATTGGGGAACTACTCCGTACTGGCTTTTTCCGGCGTGGAGGGGCATTTGCCCCAAAGCGGGGTGAGGTGAGTCAAATGGGGGGCGGAATTATAAATCGCCTACGTATCAAAGAGACCTGGTCCGGTTTTTTGGAGGGGAAAAAAAAAGAAGCCATCGATCTAATCAAATTTACGAAATTCATGACAAGAGGCTATTCACAACATCATGTCTACTATCCTGATTTCTGGCGCTAACAAGGGTAAGCTACATCTACATAATTGGCCCTTTCGCAATTGAAAGTTAATAATCCCTCTAGGAATTGGCCGTGGTCTGCTTAGCAAGTACCTCGCTCGTGATAATGTAACTGTGATTGCAGCGGTTCGCAATCCCAGCTCCTCGGAAGCAATTTCTCTCTCTGAACTTCCCACGGGGGAGAGGAGTCGGTTGATTATTGTTAAAATCGATGCCAGCTCTGAAACCGACGGGAAAGCCGCCGTGGATTCATTGTCCAGCCAGGGCGTGTTGGCTTTGGACGTTGTCATCGCGAATGCGGGACTCTTTGATACAGCTGCTTTCACCACCGTTGCGGAGGCTACCACTTCCCAGATCCAAACCCATTTCGACGTGAACACTCTTGGACCCGTGCGCCTCTTTCAAGCAACTCTTCCTCTCCTTCAGAGGTCATCGTCTGCTCGCTTCATCCTGATCAGCAGTCTGATGGCAACGATTGGAGGCATCAAGGATGTTCCACTCAAGGTTGCGCCTTACGGCGCTAGCAAGGCTGCAGCGAATTATTTTGTTCGGAAAATCAACTATGAGAATCATGAAATTGCCACCTTGGCTATCGACCCTGGGTATGGAGCTACCTTTCGACTGTTGATTTTGCATGAGGTGTTGACTAATATCTTTCCATAGTTCGGTCAAGACAGACGCTGGAAACCATGCTGCTCAAACGATGGGCTTCCCCGGCGCATCTGTAGAGCTTGAGGACAGTGTGAATGCAATTGTTACCAAAATCGATGGCTTGACCAAGGGCAACGGTGCTGGAGAATTTTGGAGCATTGATGGCACCAGCCCCAGCTGGTAGATACCACAGGTCAGAGATGGGCAATGTGATAGAGAAACACACACGTAGCACAGAACTCGCAGTGCGTGGGTTGGTATCGAATGCTTTGTAGTTGAGAGATCATTCGAATTACACATTTATCAGCTAGAAACTAGACCACAGACACTAGAGAGTCAAACCGACATGAATAAAACACGCCTTCTATAGCTGAATTTGAGCGGAGAAGTCGGACACTCGGGTATTTGGCCCTAAGCTGCTCCTGGAAGCGGCTCACGCACTAGAACTGCCCGGTACTTGATTTGCCCATTTCTCAATTTTTGCATGGCCTCTTCAACCCCAGCTGGTGTCAGAGGAAACTTCATAATGGTGGGCTTGATTTTCTTGCGATTACAGAATTCTAACAATTCCCGAAGATCCTGTCGGGAAGCGACTAGACTTCCTTGGATTCGAACCCCACGAAAGTTCATGGGGAGGAATGGGACGGGTGTGTCTGCCATAGAAACCGTTAGAGGGTAAATAGTCCCTTTGGTGTCCATGAGGCGCATCAGTTTCCTAGTCAGCAATTTAGTGTATGATCACAGCTATACCCATAGTTGAGGAGACGTACGATGCTTGGTTGAGCAAGTGACTTCCACAGAGCAGCAGATGCTTTAACGGCTGAAAGGAGGAGTGGTCAATCTGATCTAGAATTTGAAACTCATCCGCGCCGTATCGAAGCGCATCCTCTTTCTTGTCGTCGGTTCGAGATAGGACCACGACGTGACATCCCATCTTGGCGGCAATCTTGATAGCCAAATGGCCCAGACCTCCAATGCCGAGGATGCCAACCCGATCTGTTGGGCGAGCACCAAAACGACTCAGACAGTTCCAGACTGTGGCCCCAGCACAGAGGAGAGGCGCCGCATCTTCAGATAAGTAGCCATCGGGAATAGGAAAGACACAACTGGCATCCCAGACTGTGCCGTGGCCAAAGGTGCCGACGTCAAAGTCACATTCACCGTAGATCCTAGCACTACGGCAGTATTGATCCCAACCTGATCGAAGGCGTTAGAGTCCCAAACTCAGTGGTCACATGTGTTTAGTAAATTCACACCGGTTCCACAGTTATCACAGGTACCGCAGACCTTGCGCACATATCCAAAGCCAACGCGATCGCCAACCTTGACTGAGGTCACGTTCGAGCCCAGAAGCCTAACGATACCAATACCTTCATGACCTAAAACTTGGGTTGAGTTGAAAAAATGCTCGTCTGTTCCACAGAGACCTGAGTGGGTGATTTCAATGAAGATCTCATTGTGTCCTAAGATTCGAGTTGTTGTATCTGATACAATGTGACCACCGGGTGAGCCGCGGTAGACTTCAAACGATACTTCCATTGAGTATAGTAGATCCTATAAGAGATGAGTGGGAGGATAGAGACAGACCAGATATAAAGTTGCCGACCTTGAAGTGTGCTGAGCGGTAAGATTTAAATATCCTTCTTAGGCCCTGTAGTGACTCCCTTAGCTGCTAATGTACCATGTCAAGGAGGGCTGGGCTTGAAACCACTATCTTAGTATTTATAATGCTCTACCCAAAGGATTTTACACTGCCTCGAACCCTGAATGCTCCAATCCGCCCGGGGATTTTCCTAATAGGCGAGTCATATTGAATCTAATCTCGTGCATGAGATAAGAGAAAAAAAATAAAGCACTTCGCCACCAAGGGTGGGCTGATGAATGCATTGCACACCCACCAAAAGTGATAAAGACTGTGGCTGATTCCGTGAATTTGCATGTGATGACCTTTACACCACTTATTATATAGGGGATCCACATCCCCTTCATAATCTGTCGTACAGGGATCGGCAGTACACCCAATGTCGTGCATTATTGTGCGCAGATAAATGTGCGCAGGTCTTCACTAAAAAGCGGGCTAAATCCGATGATTGAGATAGTACACTATCTCGTCAAGCCTAACAAGTGCAATTCTTGAATATCATGTATATCGGTAGAGGTAAAATGATAAGCCCGTACGAAGGTGTATGATTGTGAATCTTAAGCAATTTAGACAGGTTGAAACGTGAGCCAAGATAGCCTAGGGGATTGAATAAGAGAAGGTGCGTAGTTGACTACTCGCGCGTATGTTGTAGAAGCCGGGATACACCACCTCCGGGGTGAGCCACTTAACCCCCGCATGTGATTTCGCATCACAAGAAGGCTAGGGGCATGGCCATTTCAAATTGATGCGGAGAGAATGACAGCTCCCAATACGGAGGGACGTGGAGGGACGACGTACTGGATCTGAAGGGCCTGGAAGATAACCCGAAGGGTCATTATGGTGCTAGGGCAATGGTAACGACACGTACTCCCAAGCCAGTGAAGATGAGGATAAGCTTTGATCCAAAAATTCAACCCACTAGTTAGTGCATCAAGCAAGGTAAAAAAGTAATCAGGGCCATGTTGGTTATTGTCTGTTAAATTTCTCTTGGTGCTGATCCTCTCATGTACGTAGCTTCAAAAATCATAGAAATATTCGAGCATTATGTGATTGGTAATGGATCAAAAAAAAAATCTTCATTGATCACTAAAATATGAGCCATGATTATCCGATGGATCGGAATTGCGAAGAACTGCAACAAAATGGATATCTACATGGATAAACCAATGTTCCAAATAAACACAGATGGCAAAGAGAAATGAGAGAGGTTTCTCAGGTAATCAGACACAATTTTACGCATGCAGATGGGATTGTCTTTACATCCTCAACGTGCAACCACATCTAAAACAGTATTGGATAACTATAGACCAACTATCATCGGGTAGGGCGTCTCCAAAGTCCCTGCAAAATTTATTCACGCACTTCGCTCACTACTGTAGGTTCCAGGAGGCCAATGCACCTCAAATTGCTTGAAGTGGATTCCGCTCAATTTGGTAGAATCTTTACAGCTGATATCACCGATTTCATTTCGTTTAGTGCCCGAGTAAGTATCGTTGACGAATGACTTATCACAAAACATTTAATCGTCCAAAAGGTAACCCAAAAGGTGACTGCTGACGTTTGCGTGTGGTATTCCCACCCAGCGGCCGCGTTCCTAAACATTTCCAACCACAGATAAATTGAGCTCCATGGGTAAATAACTAGTTTTTACCATTTCCCTGATCAATTTGATAAACCTCAGCAAATGTTGACCTACTTGATTAATTGACCGGCATAAGATAGAGAGTAACAATGGAGCACGACCGATCGTGGATGGTGTTATCTAGCCCGATTCAGAGCGTCTTGGCACCGGTTTCTTTTGTTAGCTCTTACTTTGACCAAATCTGATATGACCTTGACGATCAACCAGGATAGGATTCATCACTAGATTAACTGGACTCGATTCTTTTAACCGGCTAACTAGTACCGGTTAAGCAGAAAGCAGTCAATTCCCGAACAGAAAGTGGTAGTGGTACCACCCACCTTTTACTCGCGACAAGGGTTGAAGTCTAGATGCGGCCAGAGTTAGGTCCTGTACTATAGAAAGAATTTGAGAATCTACTTATCGCCCTTGTTATGAAGGTGGCCTTCCCTTCCGTCTCTTACCGATACGGCCTCTGATTTCGATGCCCAAGGCGAATCTCATGGCAAGCGTCTGCGGAAGGGTGTACTTTACTTAAATCATTCGATATTTATGTAGGGATGAAGTGATGCTTACAACGATACCGGCACAAACCTCTTTTTGGAATCGACCGCGATAGAAGCATTTCATCTGCACGACGCGGCCATTCGTGAGGTGGGAATTATCCCGGCGGAGACCCGCCGCATATGCCCTGTCCAAATGCCGTTTCAATGGAATGGATTCGGTTGTAAACTAAGCCATGGGATGGGGAGGTACAGACATGACATCTGAATTTGAAAAAGGGGACTGAAAGACTCGCGTACGTGTAAACCATGAGAACAGGGTTGTTCTCCCGCCAAATGAAAGAGGGGATGCGGTATATACCGGGAGCCGTACTATGTACACACTGTCGGCTCTGTCTTTCGGATTTGACCCTGGCTAGGCGGCCTCGGTCATATGGGTGTAAGTAAATGAATGATCTTTCTATATGGATCAACACTACACTCAAGATCAACAGAAAATCTATGGCCAAAATGAAGAAATCTCATAGTTCGGGCTCTTGAGGAGGTGATGTGAATTTTGTGATGACGTATCGACTAATGTGCAAGATATGCAGCAAGCCAGCCAAGGATTTTGATGAACGCATATTTGTTGACGAGGTGACTGGTTTGGCCTCGTGAATTATCTCCAGCACTAAGTGTATTGCAGATGCAGCTAATTCGTCAGTGCATTCTCCTGCTTCTGACTGCGGATCAAAAGACCTCGGCTGATTACGGATAACACAGTAGCACACCTCCGTTACCAATTACAGAGACGTGCTTATTGCGAATGTCAATCCCGTGGTGCCATTGGGCTGCTCGAGACGGCCAGCGCGGACACAGGAAAAGATAAGGTGGTAAAGAAAATACAAGATCAATTGAGCTGATAATTGAGAGAGAGGGGAAGAAAGACCAGACTAGAAGAGCAGAGCATTTCTGCCTCAGGCAATAATGTTGCCTCAGTAGCAATCCATAGGCAGATGAAGCAAGCTCTGATTGATGTTGAGCCTTTAATGACATGTCATATTCAGCTTTAACACGAACCCCACCATCCGTGAATGTGAACAGATCCCTCTTCATGTCACGCTGCCCAGAATCAGTTCGGCTCAAAAGTCTTCTAGGCAACTGTGGCAAGATGTTTGGAGGTTGCACTCATCTGTTCTCCCTTGACATCTTTCTAGTTGCATCTTAAATGTGTCGATGTTGGTAAATGTTTAATATTTCTGTTGGTCGGTCATACAGATAGGCATCTTTGAAGAGGGATTTACCCCGTGGATGGGCTCGCAGAGTGAATTACTTCTTTGAACATCCAGCTTAGTCGGTTGGAACTGATAGACAGAGCTGTAAAGCTTCCTGGCTGTTGAGCTGACTGAAGCAGCCTAATAAATGAAGAATCTTTCACGGGTCTTTGCCAGACGAAGGGGTCATAGGAAGGTTGAAAAAAAAAAGGATCTAGAAGATCCTTGGGCCTGCTAGGGCCTGCTATCATCAAACTGGCCTTTACCACGCGATTAAATGAGTAGTTAGTATATCTTCTACCCCCCAAGGGTGCTTTATCGATTCGATTCACTTCAGGGTTCTTTCAATAAGACGATTTCGCTTTTCGATAATTCCTTCATGTAAAACATACAGTCATCCATAAGAAATCGATAAGAAACCGAGGAGAGAAAAGGATTTGTTCTCGACAACCGAACAGAATCTACTCAAACAGCTGGTGGAGGCCTGAAAGACTGAGCGTGAAGGCATGTACTCTATCTAACAAAGACCAACTATCCTCTGCAAAATCGCTGCTTACAGATAGCCTGATATAGCAGACACAAAGTCTTTTTG